TTTAAAGATAAAATATACATTTTATATTTTTATGTATAAATTATAGTTTATAGCAAATTTGTTGTCAAACATTTTCTTTGATGTTCGTTCAAATACCGCCTGTTGAGCGAACATTTTAGAATTGTATGCGCACACATAGGAAACACGTACAGACTAGGTGAAACATTCTCAACGAACATGTTCGACAACAATGTTCGTCCTAGTGTGGACCCGGCTTTATATTATGATAAACCCAAAAAATTAGTTTTAAAATAAATACTATTTAATTAAAAACAAAAAATTGTTTATTTTTTTTTCTATTAACACCGAAAAACCGAACATTGAAATCTAGATGTGAATTGTGAATACAGCGGAGTATTGCGTTAGTACCTGTATGTCCATGTATCAAATATTATGTGCCATGTACAATAATCTATCTATAAATAAAATTAATAAACGTACAATTAACCGAAGATCCTCAAACGCTTCTTCAAAAAAATATGCATCTGTTAACAACCATATTATAATAGGATCAAAATTAAAAATCAATGATGTAAATATCAATTGCTTGTTAGTATTTCGATTGACTGCACATTTTAAAAATTTATTAACAATTCCCTTTAAAAAATGTGTGTATTCAGTATTGTACAAATTGTTTTCCTAAATATTTTTATCCTGAACACGCCTCTGATCGATACACGTAGTTTATTGAACGTACCTAGTAGACAATATATTCGGGAAAATAATGAAATATTTAGTGAAACATGCAGTAGCGGATCCAGAGGTCAACCAAGGGGGGGGGGGGGCGAATTTTCAAAAATTAAATGACCTTTTTTATATAACCGGAAATTTTTTGGAGGCTAAAATTATTTGCATTATTTCACCTATAAAACTAAATAAATACGAAATAAATAAACTTCATAAACAATAAATAAATAAAAGTAATTTATTTTTACTGGTTCGTTTATAAAATCATATCAATACATCTTTTCTTCTCCTTAGCAAACCTGTCAAATAACCATCTTTACCAGTTAATTTTGCAAAACTTTTTAATGGTTCAGTAACAAGGTTTTTCAGTTGCTCAGTATTTCTTCTACCACTTTTTGTTGATACTAAAAATATTACACAGTATTTACAAAATAATCCAGACTTTACATGTGAGTACTCAAGCCAAGGATATTTTTCAAAATGATTTGGTCTTAAAAAACGTTTTTCTTGTTTGCCTTGTTTCAAATGTAGTGAAAATGGATAGGTAAAATCTTTAGGAACATTACAACGTTTGATAATGGAATATTTTGTATAATTACTCATTTCATTATTCTTATCAATAAAATTACCAATGTCCAATTTATCTACAAAATCAAACACAATATATTGTTAACAATAAATACAATTAGGTACCTCCTAAGTACATTCGAAAATATTGTTTTTTTTCAACACTACACAGATTAGGATATATATTACAAATGAATAATTTATAACCTATGTACTTAGTACATTTGTGTAATTTGTATTGTACAGATATGAAATCGGTTTTTAATTTAGTTGCCACACAAAAATTAAATACATTCAATATAGAAGGTGCACTACTCAGTACTCACCATAATATGTCTGATTATTTTCTAAAATATCATCATTAGTACTTTGTGTAATACAATTAATATTGTCGTCAATAACAGAATTATTTTCGCATACAGGAACGTCAGGAACAACTAAGTAATAAATATTTTTTTATATTGGTGTTTGGTACATAGGTACCTGGTACCTACTTAGTTAATACATATTTTTTAAGATTTGTTTTACTCAATGTACTCACTTGGTGTACTTGAAGCAGTTGAAATACTGTTGATCTTTTTTTGAATAAATGTGTCCATTGGACCAAATCTTTCTTTACGTTTCATTTTAGTTGTAAGAAAATATATTAAAAACTAAAAATCAACGAGTAACGGTTATGCCATGTTGTAGGTATTTGTCGTTAGTCGATAAATTAATAAGTACTAAGTATAATCACAAAGAAAACTAATGTAAATACCTACCTTTATAAAAATAAAATATTTTAATTGGTATAATCGGCACAATCCATTTCAAATTGTGATAAGCAGGCGAAAACAATAACGGTGGCGATAAGTTGATAACAACACCAGCAGTGCGTGTTCGAGAAGTAGCGTTTCTATATTATTATGAACATTAAACAGGTTAGGAAGAATCATAAAGGAGAATGGGGGAAAAAAATGGGAAATATTTTTACGCAGGCTCATTGTGTGAAATTATTAGTAGTATCCAAACCAATAAAAATATTAGTTTTCACTTTTTCAGCTCAATTTTATGATATAAAAATAACGTAAAAAATACGGGCCAAGGGGGTGGCGGTCGCCCCACCGCCCCCCTCGTATCCGCCACTGGAAACATGTCTCAAAGTGACAAAATTATTGAAATGTTTATAACAACGCATGTCTTAATAACGTCCCTGAAAAATTAAGATATCAGTGCATTTGAACCCGTCTAAGATATGTTTTTAGGACTGTGCTATTTTTCTGGCATGAAGACGGATATCAGTTGTACAGTAAGACCAGAAAAAACTAACAAAAACTATAGCTATAATGGTTTCAGCCGATTACTTTTATATCACCGAAAACGATAATCTTAATACCGCGTGGTTAGATGAAATGCTATGTCCTATAATATTGACTATTATAGGATCATATTTTAATCGGATGATTCTGTATAAATACCTAAATAATGATGAATCCCGGGACAATTTACAGATGTTGAGACGTTTTGAAACTATTCAGAAGCAATATATTCGAGTAGAAAAAGATGTCGCTCTGCTGTATAGTAGGTGTCGCGTGGATCATGCAATAGAGTGTAATGGGTGTGTTAAATTTTAATTTGGTGATATAAAATTATTGTAGTTAGACTAACTTAACCTATGAAAAATGATTCTAAGCTAAGACGGTCTGTCAACCTATATTACTAACTTACTAAGTATACTTTATGATATTATTGATTTTAAGTTTTAATGAAATATATTTCATTATTCATAAATTCAATGGATATTATCACTGAGCGACATTAAAAAATATATATATTCACCCTACACGTCATAATCAAAATCATTTCATCAATTTAGGGGGTGGCAAATTCTGTAATGCTTTAAAAATACATCCTACATAGGTTAGGTTATGATTATAAATCATAGTAAATTTATACGTCATAATAAATTCGTAAAAATAAAGCCCATTTCATTGGAACTCTTCGAAAAAATAGGAAATATCTTCCTAAAGATGTTGTAGGGGCTAAATTGAAAAAACTGAGGTTGTTGGAAAACAGTGTCGAGATGGTATAGTAGTTTTGAAATGGAAGGATAAACGTGATTGGGTTTTAGTGGAAAGAAAAAATATTTTTAATTTTCACATAACAAAAAAACCAACCTCGTTTATTAAAATAACTTAAAATAAAAAAAAACAATATTAAATTTTCCTTTAAGTGAAAAATAACTCATAAAAAGTAAAAAATAGAAAATAAAAAACGAATCGCGTTCACTAAAATATTTAAATATAAAAAACAAACCTTGTTTATTAAATATTTAAAAATAAAAATAACAAAAACAATTCTTGGTAGGTAACATTTCAAGTCATGTTTAAAAAAAAAATAGAAATAAAAATTATAATATATATTATTCTGTATGATATTGCTCAAAACAATTACTTATTTTATCTAAGCATAAATGACAGTCACACTTCTTACAATAATAATGTTTTCTTCTTATACAATTTTCGTTTTTACACTTAGTAGCATTTTTGAGATTATCAAAACCGGGTATGTGGTGTAATCCGTCAAAACGACATTCTTTAGTTGGTTGTACAGAGTCTACTTTGTTTTTCTTCAACGGTGGCACTGGTATTGGTAGCTGCTCTCCTGATGGACGTCTTCTTCTTTTGGGAGTGATGGGTTTTCCGACTAAAATTAAATTTTCAGTTAATTCCATTCGAAAATCCATTAAATAAATTATTTTTCTTTTTGGTACTTTTAAAATATCCGCTTCTTTTTTATATTGTGACACGGCTACGGCGGTTGGTATAGATTGCGGTGAGCCGGTCTTGAAGTGTAACCAACGAACAACAAAAAAAAAAGAACGACGACCACTGGTTCTGGTATTAATGAATTTATTCAGACGCCAAAGAAAAAAAAAGTACAATTTGTGTGCACGTAATGAAAGTGACTATGGTGTATAGTTTTATGAGGATGGTGATACGGCGATCGGAGGTGCTGGCGTGTGCGGTTCGACGATCGGCGTAAGCGAGAGAGTCGAGCGCCGGCGGCCGGTACTCGTACGACCTGTCTTCCCATCCCGCCTTAGAGGTGGGAGAGTCGACGGTGTCGTCGCCCGTGGTGGTGGTTGACAAAGTGTAGACTGGGTCGCAACGGTGCCTGTACTTTGTACTGGTCGCCGTTACGTACCGTGTCAATTGGATCCAACAATTAGAAATCGCCATGTCGAATGCATGCATAATCATTCTTAGGGTCCATTTTCTAGACCCTATAAATATGCGATAGTAACTTATTAGTTGATCTAATTTATCAATACCACCCATCGATTTGTTATCACACATAGAAATGGGACAGTTGTTTTAACTACATACTATGTTGTCAAGCATTATAATTGAAATAAACTGCATTTGTAGGTTAAATCAACTGCAATAGTGCGTTGATCTAAATATAATATTTCAACTATTTGAAGGTATTGAAATAACTTGTAAAAATTGTTATTTTGAGAATCGAGGTTATTTAATTTAACATGTTTTGAGGGTTAAAATGACTACAAGTTAATGAGTTATTCTGAATTATTTTTACTCTTAAAATAAATATCGATGCACGTTGTTGTGACTAGCCTAGTTGATATAATAATTGATAGTGTGCTGTGTTCTTGTTTATATTATATGAATAACATTATTAGTTTGTATTTTTCTTTTGTTAATATTTTGGATATTCGCGGTATTTTTGTTCTCGTTGTTCGTCTTTTCACTTAGTGTAATTGTGCATTTTATATTTAACGCCAGACGATAGTTCACCTACGTCCTACAACCATAATATCATGACTTCTTTCTCTCTTGGCCAGCTTTTGGAAGTAAGTATATTAATGGTTATTAATATATTTAAAATTAACCTGATGTCACCCCTTCAGTAACTCGAGTTTTAGGCAATGGTAAATTGTATGTTACATTAAGATATAAATTGTAGTATTTTTTATTTTTTTAACTTTTAAGTTGTTCTCAATGTTTGTTTTATTTGAATCTAATCGCATAAAAAAGTATGCAATGGAAGATACCTGTAATATTATATTAAGCTTGTTATTTGTTATTTAACTTTATTTGTAACATTAAATTAAATACATTTTTTTATCTGCATTTATTTTTTTTATAATTTAGACAAGTTTCATCACACGTTTGTTTGGTATCCTGTATATCTATTATTCGTGTAGCGAACGATACAATTTAAGGTACCTATTATATATTGAAAGGCAGTTTGTATTCGTTTTATTTTACCTCATTAGCATAGGTGAATATTGGGGGCTTAATCCTTTTCAAAACGTAATCAAGCCACATCGCATGGTTGAAGAGTTTAAAAATATATGTTTACATGGATGATGAGACAAACATGTTAAGCATCCCAAAATGTGATCAAATATCGGCCTATGGGCTATGTTCATTAATTAATTACCTACAACAATTTTTTTATAATATCTTATAACTACATAGGTAAATTTTGGATATGACTTTATTTAGATAACAGTGTTTCCACAAATTAAATTAAGTTAGGTAGTGGCTCAGTAGGTTAGGCGTTAGGTTAGGAAAACATAAATATAATCCCAATTGAAGTTCGAGCCCTCTCCCAGCTCCTGATATTTTTTGCAATAGATGTATAGAAATAATATTGATTTTAACTCCTTAAAATAGTTGAAATAACATTATTGATGTAGTTGTACCGATACTTTTTATGAAGTAAATTAGAACTGAAACTGGCGTTGTATTAACTAACATAGATGAATTAAACCAAGTGGTTACTATTAACTACATAGCGTAGTCAAATTAACCCTCCTTCATCCTTAGGCGAAATCTAACACTCGAATGTGCACGGAATTGACTTATTTGGTGGTCAAAACAACTCCACAGTTTTATGTGTGATATACAATCTCACTATTTCGGGCCTTTCAATATCAACAAACTGTTTTTCTTTTTTGTCCCAACGTGTTACACGGTCTACTTCAACAGAGGCTATGCAATTTGATCCTAAATTTACTGCTTTATTATCGAACCATTTTACAATGCCAATATTACAACCAGGTACATCAGTTGTTACCTCGAATGTGGTTCCTCTGCCCAGTTTACGCATTTCTTTGTCACTCAACAATGGTGGGTTAGCAAACCAATTTGTTCGAATTGTCCCAGCAGCATAAATTTGAAGTTGTTGTAATCTTTCAAATAAGAAAAACGAAGAAAAAAAATTATCGAAAAATAAAAAATGTCGATTTAGCTTCACGTTTTGCGAAAGATACAACACAACACAAGCTCCACAACCAACTGTTTTTATTATGTCTTGGTCCAATTCATAATACCCTTGAAACGGCAAAATATTATAAATCGTTCCACATTCGCCACATAATAGAAAAACTTTTACTCCCCATTTAATAGGTTTCCCCTTCATATATTGTTTTATAGATATTTGCTCTTTGAAGGGAACCATCTGCTCGTCGACACACAAGTTTCTCTCCATTGGTAGACTATTACATTTTTTTTGGAGAGCAGTATACAACGGCCTGACTTTTATAAATTTGTCTTTGTTGCCATTAGGAATTTCATTGTTGTCAACGATATGTAAATTATTACGCAAAGAAAAAAACCTGTCTCGGGTCATATTTTGAGCAACTAAATTTACTTCAAAATGTTTTTGCCAATACAAACGTACACGTGGATATTTTAAATTACCCATTATGATATGCATACCGATTAAACGTTTCATTTCGTACATATCAGTAGGTTTAAATCTAGTAACATCTTTTAGAATCGTATAAAGATTAGTATGATATGCCATGTTTTCGAAAACATCGTAATCAAAATACTCAGAAAAATACTGTAAAGGTGATTTTAATTCTAATATAATATTATTTTGTTCTACGTCATCTAA